CACACGAAGACTCAGTCTGCCGATGGAAGCCTCTATTGTCTATTTGTCTATTTGTTGAAACATATATCAGCTATAATTATCATTAATTTATTTTAGTTCCAAGAATTAAAAAAAAGAAAAGAATAAATTAAATCGAGATTAAAGTTTATGTTGATAGAAATAGATATGAATATGTATCTGTTATATACAAATATGTCAGCTTGTTTTGTATTTTTTTCATTAATGTATCAACATTGGTATAGATTCGAACAAATTTGGTCAGAAGATGCTAGAGAAAATGGGTTGGACAAAGGGAAAAGGACTTGGCGCTAATGAGCAAGGCATTACAGAATTTTCCAATGTATCATACAAAAATGATACAAGTGGTAACTAAAACAATATAATACTTGTATTTTGTTTTATGCAGAAGTTGGCTACTTTATAGACACTTATATATACTTGAATGAAATTTTATTTCTTTCTTAAAGGTATAGGATATGATGATAAAAGTTCTGAAGCTTGGACTGAACACCGGGAAAAATTTAGCAATTTTCTGGAGCAGCTTAACAGGGAACAAACTCAAGATACTGTGAAAACAGTAGATGGAAATGATAACATGGATAAACAGTCTATCGAGTTGAAGTCCAAGCAGAGTCAAGCTCGAGTGCAGTAAGTATATTTTTGTTACAAATTTATAATTATAATATATGTACATATTTAAATTTAAATTAAATTGCAAATGATTTAGTAATGAAATCTATATTTTTTATTATCCTTTTATATAGAAATAATACTTAATATTTTATAAACAATACATTAAATAATAAAAATTAAATATATTATCATATATAATATATAATATATTATCATTATGTAATTATGAAAATATGTTAATTTGTTTGCAGTTATCAGAAGTTTACACGTGGCAAGGATATAAATAAATACAAATGCAAGGATTTAGCAAATATATTCGGTCAAAAAGAATTGACTGGTAAAACTCAAATTAAGATAGACAAAGCTGATAATAACTGTGGGATGGAAACTTCTAGTAATAAAGATAATTGGTATGGAGTCGTTACAATTAATGGTGGTAACATGGTGGACTATTTCAAACTTAAATCAAAGTATAATAATGCAACTGATTATTTGAAATATAATACAAAGATGAATAATGATACAAGCCTATCAAGCAGTATGACTGATAATCGAACAACTGATTCTGAAAGTGAAAATGATCAACGTATTGGTTTTGGATTTATATCTAAAGTGGAAAATTCATCATTATCTAATTATGGAACGTTGAAAGAGCCTGTCGAAAAGAGCAGTTATGCTTTTGATAACCCCTGCTTAAGTAGTCCTATAGAAGATGTTTGTAATATCAAAGATTCTTCTTCAAAATCTGCGAAAAAGAGAAAGAAGAAATATGAAAATGATACTTTGCATACTATTGAAACGGATAAACATAACGCCAGGAAAAAATTAAAAACTGATACTATTGATAACTGCGGAAATGGTTTTGTTAATTCGGCTCTCAATCTAGACGCAAATCCTGAAGAAGATTATAATGGTAAAGAATTTGAAGTATCCAGAGCACAGTTTGGTCTTGAAAACTGTGGTTTAGATCTTACAGATGAAAGAAATGACAAAAAACGCGTAACATTTAATGATCATGTTATGTTATGCGAATATAACATAAATTCTACAAAGAAAAAGAAAGGAGAGGCTACATTGGATAAATTCGAAGTTGAAAATAAGAAGAACAAAAAGAAACGGAAGCACGAGAATATTACGACTCCTATATCAAATGGCTTTGTCAATAAAGCATTAGATATAGAGGCGTTACATGAAGAAATTAATGATAATGAGTTGAATGAACATAAAACTAAAAAAATTAAGAAGAGAAGGATATATAAAACATCTAGTCTGGAAACGATACAAGAGTCACCAGAGAAGGAAATAACCGAGATTAATATAGAATCGGAAATTGATTTAAATACTGGAGATGTAGAAAATGCAGAAATCGATACTGAACAAAAATTGAAGAAGAAAAAGAAGAAAAAAAATAAAGTTGAAAAGATTATTGTAATTGATATCACGAAGAATGAAGAACCGGATATTGAAATTGAAGATGTAATTAGCAAAAAGATTAAGAAAGATAAGAAGAGTAAAGAAGAAGTGACAGTAATTTCTAAAAAATATAAAAATAAGAAGAATAAAGAAAATAGCAAAAGTGAAAAAGACGTTATTCAAATTGAAGTAAGCGATGATCAACAAGATATCAGTTCTAATTCAAAGCAGCAACACAATGATAATTTAATTAAGGATGATAATAAAAATGAAAAAATAATTGAAACATTATCAGTTTCTACAACCAAAGAAGAAAAAAAAGAAGAAATGAAATCATTAGAAGCTACTAAACAAAAGAAGAAAAAAAATAAGAGCATCAATAAAGAAGATTGTTCAAGCACAATTAATGAATGTTATGTAGAGAAAGAGATCTCTGATAAGGAAAATACTGATAAAGAGCAATGTTCACCTACCAAATCAACAAAGAAACATAAAAAAAGCAAAAAATCGAAAGATAAGAATGTATCTGATATAGGAGATTCTTCCAATCTTGATAAAGAAGATATGAACGAAAATGTAAAACAAGAAAAAGTAGAAAAAGCGGAATCTACTGATACACCTTCAAAAAAAGAAAACTTGATTGATACTATTGAAAATATAATTAGCAGTCCATGGAGTGTAAAAGCAAGAATGTCTAAGAAAATGTTGGTAACACTTTTCCACAATAATGCAATATTAGATTTCCCAGGTTCCAATATTCGTAATATAAAGGGATATGGTGCTGATATCGAAAGTGAATTAGATTGTGTATAATTTTGATATTTTTCAATGACAAATAAATAATACACAAGTTTGACAAGTTTGACAGTTTGACAAGAATTTTGTCAAATATCGTGAATAATATTTTTGATATATGTACATTATGTACGTATGTACATATTTTGTGTATATACATTATGTACATACATTATGTATATACATTTTTTTCTTACAACAAAATTATTGTTTAATAGATATATTTATTGAAACATTGTAACAAAAGTTCGTAGCATTGTTTAATAGATACAATTGAAATGCGCGAAAGTTTGTAATGCGTGACTTGTTCATCTATGTATTATTTACATTTTCTGTATAAAAAATATTTTAACACGTCTTGTAAACATAAATCTAATCAAATCGATTTAATATCAATTTATATTCATATTTGTTTGAAAATAAAAATAAGATATATTTTTAATATTTTATTTTCAGAAAAATAAAAACTTAATACAAGCGTTTATGGAGATAGAGCTAAAAATTTGTTTGCAAATAGTTTATTTAATTCAAAAATGGTGATTTTAAGTTCAAAAATTAGAAACGTTTAAGTAGACTTTTGATTGTTAATAATGACTAAATTTAATTCTAAAAATAATCCATATTATATGAGATGGGATATTGGAAAAATATTTTGGATATCTCATATGTGATAATTATTTTTGAATTTCATTAAAAAACGACTACGAATTTTTGTTATAACTAATACATTAATTTATTATAATAGAAAATTATTTCAATGTATGTAATCAAGTAAATTATTTAATATATTGACAAATAGATTTTTTTCAAAAAGTATAATTAACTTTATATTATAAGATAGATAAGACAAGTGTTCTATTTACAACTGCACGTTTGTTTGACAATGCAATTTTAATAAAAGTATTTTTTCAAATCAAAATTCTTATATTGAATTAAGTCCCTATCAAAATAAATCCATATACTTTTTATCAATTGTTTTCAAAATATATTTACAATATGTACAAGATTTATGTATAAGAAAAATGACGCTGAAGTCATTGATTATAATTATATGAAACATACAAACAATTTATATTTTCTTTATTATTTATATATCTTTTATATTAAAATATAAATTATGCTAAATTATCATATATATGACTGACATCTTCTAAGCTTAAAACTTTCTCGCGAATGAGAGAAATAGCTTCTAAATCTGATTCATTTAATTTTATTACAACTTTTGGTATATAATCTTCTTCTGCCAAAAGTATACAATATTGAAGATCTTCTAAAGATGTTTTATCTTGTTTAAAAGTTTTGGATCACATTTAAACTACAATAAAAAATGTATTGATGAATATATATGATTAATTTGTATTGTACAAAAAATTTTGATATCACACATATGTATGTTCAAATAATGAATATATTTTTTGTTACTTATATAATACTTATATAATCTCTTAATTATCTAATTAAAGAATAAATTTCTATTGGATACCTGGAAATATTCCATATCATTTTCTTTGAATTCCTCTACATCTTCTGCCCCAATGTTAATAGCATCCTCCATAGCTTGATCAATATTGTCTTTCTTTTCAACTATAATACTACCTATATGAGTAAACATGTTTTTGGCGGCGGTATCTGTTGCTTTTCCTCTATACATGATTGAAAAGATAAATATTAAGATAGAAGATATATTTTAGAATGCTAATTTAATTTTATATTATTCACATTGGCTTCTACAATATTTTTACTACATGAAAGTATTATATAATAAAACAAAACTGTTTCAAAATATCAATATTTCATAATATTTATATTTCGAATAACTTTAATAATATATAGGAGAAATATATCACTCATACTTAGTCTTTTTAATTTTTGAATTAAGCTCTATTGCAAATGACTTGGGATTATCTGTTTTATAACAAACGAGCATTACATAACCATTTGGTCCACGAACTTCTATTAAACCCGTTTGAATTTTGTTTTTACGAGTCTCCATTTTCTCAAGAAAAGATTTTATTGATGCAACAGGCATATTTGCCTTTTTAGCTCGTTCAATGACTTGTGATAATTTTGGATTATAACTCAAGTTTGTGCCACCCTCTGAAAAGATATTTTTAATTTTTTCATAATAGCTTATATATGTTAATACTAAAAAATGATCATATTATAACTTAGAGATAAAGTACTTATAGTAATGTAAAATTGCAAAAATACATTACATTTTGCAAAAATATGTTCAAACATAACTTGTTAATCACACAAGTAAAACATACTTTTGCATTTAACATATTTTAGTAAGTATATAACTGTTAAGATAGGTATAACATACCATTAATAGCATTAATCATTTGCATTTTCAAGTGATGAAACAGCAACATCCTTTCGTTATCATTTTCTTCTTTTGTATGTTTTATATTTGCCCATTTGCTATGACCGGCATATCTTTTAAGCATTTTAGGCAGAAGATAAGTACATCTTTTGAGCAATAATCTGTTCACCACTTGTGCCATTTTTGGAAAAATTTGTTACATAGCAGACGATAAGATGTTAATTTCGCTGTTTTACACTTTATCTTTTACTTTCCTGTCTTTTCCCGATATTTAGATATATTATTTTAGTTTAAAAAAAGAGGAGGGACTATAAGAAATATTCAAAACAAGTAAATTCATTAAAGAGGTTAGAGGTTGTTTATTACCATCCGAATGAAACTTTAATATTACGTTTTGAAGTCTGACGCTAGATGGAGCCACTTAATGATTTCATAATGCTATCGCATTTTCGATATTTTTTAAATAAATCTGCTTTGTGATATATGAATATTTTTATAACTGCCAATGTAGCGGAATTTTTTAAAACTTTTTTTTATCTTTGATTTGTATTCACACCGACGAGATACTATTGAAGACCGACAATCTTATGAGAGTAGCGTGATCGCTTTTGGGGCCCGGGGATAATTGAAAAACGTTGATATTATCGTTTTAATTGTACTGAAGATAACAAAGGGAGGAAAATGTTTATTTATTACTGTTATTATGATGAATTTAATTTTAAATTAATAATTCTTTTTACGAACTATTAATTTAAAATTAAATCCGTCATAATAACACTAATAACAATTATAATAACAATAATAAATGAACGTTATCTTCCCTTTGTTATCCTCAGTACAATCAAAACGGTCGATAATATCAATGTTCTTCAATTATCCCCGGGTCCCCGGGGCCCCATTAGTGGACACGAAAATTTACCCACGGTTATCGGTCTTTAGTATCTCGTCGGTGGTATTCATTAAGTGATGTATATTGATTTGTGTTAGTAAGCAAATGTTATAAAGCCTGTTCTACAATGCGTCGTGTGTCGTGAATTGTAAGAATGGGCCAATCACAGATGAATATGGAGAAAATACTTGATTATGATTGGCCCATTCTTACGTTCAAGCACGACACACAACATGTTGTAGAATAGGTCTAATTACACTTATAAAAGATATAAAATTATGCGACTGAAGTACGAACGAGTAGAAAGATGGTTTAAGTGCATAAAGTGTAATTAACGCGAACAAGAGTTACTATTGCATAGAGACGCCATATTGATTTTGCACCGTATTTCGTTCAAAATCAAAGCAAATCGATCTGTATTTTTCACGTCTTTTACCGAGGAAAAAGTAAGAAAAATAAACGTTCGCATTATCGGATAAAAAAATTGGCGGTGAGTAATCTTTATGAACCATTAATGATGCTAGATCGTCGCGCGCGATCGACATCCGTTGCGATTAATCGCGCGTCGGCCATATTGATTTCGCGCTATATGTTGTTTAAAGGGATGCTGGACTTGTCTGTATTACCGAAACAAAACGCAGTAATTTTTGCTCTCATTTTTTATTAACTTTATGGAAATTTTTTTCCACAATTAAAGTTTATGCACTAATACGTGTCTAGCATATAAATTTCAAGAGAAAGTTTTTTCAAATTTAGATCTTTTGTATCGTTTGATATTTTAAAATGGTGTCAAGTCGCGTCAATATTTGCTTTATATAAAAATTTTACAACCTCTACCTACAAAACTGATATTGCTAGACTAGAAGATTACATGAAGAAACAACGTTGAGTT